ATTTGTCTAGAAAAGAATCGAAATTCCGAAAGAGTGACCAATTTCAGTCTGCTTCAACTGGTTGGTGATATGGAGGATTTGGCGACAAAATTCAAAAAACCGGAAACACCGCGCAGCCTTCTGGCAGGAACTGGACACTGTTCAGCCCTGATAAAGGTGCAAATTCCGGAATTTTTTTTTCGAAAAATTCTCTCTACAGCATATGACCTCGTAAAAGTCTAGCCCTCATCTACAACTTTAGTATTTTCAAATCAATTCGGGGACGGAAAACAAGCACTAACCTTTGTTCTATACATTGTAAAGGTTTGTACCACTATATGGGCGTAGGTGTGTACAGCTGTTCTCCTTGCGTGGTGTCCAACTATAAAGTTTAGAGAGAAGATTAAGTTAATGTCTAGAGGATATAGTTTACCAGATGCTGTGCAATTTCTTTCCTTATGGCATCCTGGATTCGTTCAGTTGCTTCCCGACTTGTCCGACATCTATTTCTCCCACGTCACTTGGGAATCATATTCTACCATGCTTCGCGCCCAGAAGAAATATACGTTTTCCACAAATGATCCTGGTAGAAGCTATTCTTTCAGCGGATATCCAGGTGAGTTTAAACCACAATGTACTATGGTGCTCTTTCGAAGACTAATCTGGCCTGAAACCTCATTCACTTGTGACAGGCTTACCACTTAAAGTCGTTTCGTTTTTCAGTCAAGATTTCCAATGAGAATCAACTGTATACGTTGTTACAAATTCTGCCGTTCGAGGTTTATAGATGGAACACTTCATTAAATAAACGACCTAACGTTTCGACGTAATCGTCATGTATAGTGTTTGACTCTCTCGCGAAAACAAAAACAACCGAAACTCATCGGAAAACTACCTACTTTATAAAATTCCTGCCAGGTTTCACCGTCAAAGAAGATAGAATCTACTGTCGCCGGCGACTGTCAGTAGCGAATGAGACTTCGTGATGTTTCTTTATACTGGTGAGGGAGATTACATTACGATGCTACTGATCACG